GTAAAATTCCGTCCCAGGATGATTTGGGCTTAATACGCGGTTGTGCCTATTAACCGTGGGCTTAATAACCGGCGACTACTGTATATCGATTAATTCGGATTACTGACCTCAAAGCGATTTTCTGTGATACACGGCGCTGTGTTGATCCGTAGTCAGGAGCGTTGCGAAGTAATATATACTGTGCTTCACCATAATATTACAGTGTGTGTGAATGTATTCAATAAATTTGACTGAATGGTTTCTATTTAACTGTTTTGTTTCCCTTAATGCGCCTTATAGTCAGGTGCGCTTTCTGCAAGAAAAAAAAACCAGAAAATAAACCATTTAGTGATAGTGCGTCCTTTTGCATAAAATACGGTAATTGCCTCAGGTAGCTACAAGGTTTCGACTTTTACTTTGATTATCTGTCCCTCGGTTGGTGTTTGTGATAACGAATAAGCGATTTTAAGTTGGCATATGGTTTGAGTACCGCATATTATTGTTAGGGAACCCACAGCAAACTCTTCATTTCCACTACGAAACAGAGCCCTATAACTTTTTTTTTCTACGAAACACTTGCTCATTTTTCCTACTAACTTAATGACTCCATTCCTAGCGCTCTGAAAACTCATACCGAGTATCATTTGCTAGACTTACTTATGCTGTTTCACGTTGCCTAACCATTTAGGCCTGAGTACGCCGCACTGTTTGCCGTTGCCTCTGGACTGTCTGGTGTGGTCCTGCTCTACAATGCCCTGAATCCTTTGGTCGCGGGACTGGCGCTCACCAACCTCATCCTCTATACCTCTGTATATACACCCCTGAAACGCATTACCCACGTAAACACATGGGTTGGCTCCCTGGTGGGCGCTATTCCACCCCTAATGGGATGGGCTGCAGCAACGGGACATCTCGAGTGGGGTAACTGATTTCTTATATTATCTTCGTACTTGCTATATTTCAGTAGGCATGCTTAATTAAATATAAAGTAAAAATAATGTAATAGTAAATGTAAAGTATTGCTTTGTCACCCATATTGCATATCGGCGTGACAATGAGTGATGCAATTTTGACGAGTAACGCAAATTAATGTGCCAGTGAGCATCTGATAGATTAAATGCAACAGTGCAGCATTAAGATGCCAATCTTAACTCTTGAAAATCAACTAAACGTGATGCATTTGTGATTGGATGAGTGTAGTCGTCTGCGC